TCATTGACACATCCATCGAATCAACTGATGCATTGGCCGCCGGGCCCCAACACGGCAGCTTTTCCTTCACTGAATGACTTTCTGACCAGTCTTGCAAAGGGTTTTTGCATGATCTTACATGTAGTGACTTTTTGACCTGTGCCGTGACTTTTCCGTCAGAAGAACTCAAGCCCGCATACCGGAGTTCTCAAATCTAATTCGAGATGCATGACCACACCCTACAACAATTTTACCTGTCACATCAAGCTCACCTTCACGATTCCACCACCGCCGGGAGCCAGCGCTTGGCTCTCACATTTCCACCCTCCAGCGCTGAAGCTGCTGCAGCCGAGCTAGTGAGGCTTTATGTCCAAAAAGGACACAACCACCACGCCTGCCACCGGTTTTTGAAAAAGCGCCGGAGCCGGCGACTTGTGTGTGTCCACCCCTGGACCAAGGGTTTCTTCCAACCGATTCACCTGCCACTTGTTCCACCACCGACTCACAAGCAGGGGGTGCAAGCAGCCCATCCAGTCTTGCACCAACGAAGACACTGGATGCGTGCTGGTGATATCGATTTGGGACGCCAAATCGACGTACCTGCAGAGTTCTTCACACGCTGTTACTCCACTCTTCCACGGTTTGTTTCATGGTTCTTCATGATACCTCTCACAAACCCACCGCCACGACCTTGCGATGCTTTGCAGCCGACTTTGAGTGTCAGATCGTTTTCGAGTGCAGCTGCCAACAATGTTCAACAATACGGTTTTGCGGACTTATGCACCTTTCCGTTCCCTCGCCTTCCTTCCCAACGTGGTAACTGAGTCACTGAAAACCAATGTCAGAGTGTGAGTGAGAGTGAGAGTGCGCACTCACACCCACACTCACTTTCACTCTCACTCTCACTCGCACTCGCACTCGCTGGCACTCGCACTCACTCACTCTCCCACTCTCACTCACACTCACGCTCACTCTCCCTCTCACTCTCACACTCACTCTCACACTCACCCACACTCGCTCACACCCACCTTCACTCTCACTGACACCCACTCTCACTCTCACTCACACTCACTCTCATCCACACTCACTCTCACTCACACTGAGTGACTCTGAGTGAGAGTGGAAGGTGGGTGTGAGTGAGAGTGAAGGTGGAACCCCCAAGTGTGTCCACACTGTTTTGGGAAAAAAATATACAGAATACCCTCCACTCCAAAATCAATGCTAAAACATATACAGTAGTAGACATATTGACATACTGTATCCTAGAAACTAAGAGAAGGTGCTGATGTGATATGTGATGCACATGTTTACATAGAGGTCCATTCCGTGGATCCCACATCCCGTTCCTTCTAAGAAAACTGAGGAACTTGAACAGAACCCCGACATCCTCAGTGGAGATACCTCGGCACTTCGAGGAGTCTCCGGACTGCACACAATCTGCTCATTGAGCAATTTTACCGAGGAAAGCGCGGACGAACCAACCACCTGGGGGCTGTGAGTGGGAGGCCAAGACACCAATTCCATGCACCAATTGATTGAAGATCTGAGCACTTGCTTCAGCAATTATGCAAGCACGAAGAGGGGAGATGGATTGGATCACTTCCTCGAAAAATGTACGTTGCTTCACTGAGGTGCTCTGAAAATTCCAATGTGAAACAAAAATAGTGATGGAACAGGCACGAAGCAATTGATTCCATCGCACCATTAGTCAAAGTTCCACGTTTTTGGGCCCAAGTGCACATCACCCTGTGAAGCCTGTCCGTCAAGTGTCAAAACATACCTCTTCAAAGCGTCCAAGGGGCAACATCCAACCGCAACAGCTCTTTCCCAAACTCGCTCCCCTCCTCGAGGCCCCTTCATGAAGTGTGTCGTCTTGAAAGTCGAGGTACTTGCAACTCTCCGTTGTCGATGGTCGGACTCTGAGGTCTCCCTTTTTGAAATACGTGAGGTCTCTGCAAATGAAATCCAGAAGGATTTGCGACCATACAACTATCATATAGATAGGCAGCCTTGTAAGGTGTGTCACTACGGTAGATCCTACAAAACCTTCTGCAAAAACATTCGCTGCGTCTCCAAACGAGTCATCAAATCCCATAGACTCATAGACCCAACCTGGTCCTTCACTTCATCTTCGGAACCTCATCTCGCGGGATGGATCAAAACCTCAAGCCCTGATCCACCATGTAGCGACCTCCCAGGTTGGTCAACCGGTCGGTCTCCTGCGACCCTTCAGAGCCATCGCAGCTCCGGAACACAGCTGCGATGGCCCGAACACAGCGAACTGCGTTCCGCCGAACTCGCTGCGAACAGCGTTCTGCCTCTCCAGGCCCTGGTGCCCATCGATTGCAGGAATGCCGCGAACTTGGCCGAAGACATGGCCGCCTTAAACCTGGGCGGCGGGTGACTGACTGGTGGCTCGGGGCGTGGGTTCGGGGGCGTGGGTTCGGTGTTGAAAGAAACGGGCAGAACTGAAGCAAGAACTGGAGGATGACAGTGGAAAAACCTGAGTAGTCTTGGAGAATCATGGTTGGATGACAAATGGGAATAAAGGAACGTCTGTTCCTCCTCATTACTGTAGTTTGGGAGAGCATATCTGTCGACCAAAGCACCCATGGTAAGGCAACTTGAGAGGAGGGAGACACGAAAGGTAGGACAGCGGGAAGAGAAGAGAACGCGAGAGGCAGGAACAAAAATGCAATGTTCGACATGGTGATTTATCCCCTCGGAGGCGACCTTTCGTAAATATAATTTCATACGTTCAAACATATGCTCTCGAAATGGTCAAAAAGATTCTTAGGAAAACAACCTTGCCCCATGGCTCAGATCATCGGTGAGCATTAAATCGGAGCATCATAGGATTTGAACTATCCTGAAACCATAAGAGGCTTACGAAGACGTTCCCCAGGAGAGAATTGACGTGCTTCACAAAACAAACTCTAGGTATGTACCCTTTCGGGGAACACCTTTCGTGATTAGAATTTCATATGCACTCTTTCTGAATGTTCAACAGGGCTTCAACTATTCTGAAATCATGAGAAGCTCACGAAGACGTTCTCCAGGAGAGAATTGAATTTAGTGGGGGGGAGGGGGGGGGGGGCCTATTGAAAAATCAATTCCAGGGGGGGGGTCTGAATTGAGCGATCAATTATTCGACCCGGACGAGCCAACACTTGCTTCGCAAGACAAACTCAAGGTATATATCCCCTAAAGGGCTACCTCTCGTGAAAACTATGGGGTCTTGAAGTGAGAAAGTCAACACTTAAAGCCGCTCTTAGCCTCTTCTCAAACGTGGTGATGTCTGCTGTACAGAATCTTGTACTGACCCCAATCTGTTTTGAACATAGCTGGTCAAAGCCCATGAGACGATCGGATCCCTTATTAATCCAGGGTTTTTCCACACCGCGGTAGAACCAGATCCCTCGCCACGGCCACACTTATTATTATCCCCAATGAACAGGCACCCACCAAAATCAACGCCACCTGAGAACTGCGAAAATGTGGTTCTCAAAAAAAAATGAACAAATCCCTACATTGGAGACCCATCCAGGGGCCGTCCGCTCGCCCAGTCTCAATATCGACCAAAAACCCTGTGGCAACCTTGGATGCCCATTGGTCGCCTGCCAAACCTTCTCTCCCTGGTGTCAGACGTGCTTTAATTGTTAAAGCAGCTCGAGCGAACGGGAGGACTTCCCGACACGACGGTGCGAGAAGAAGCCTCCAACCGGCCGAGTCTCCATTGGCGCCGGCAAGGCCAGCTCTACTCCACGCAGCCCTCCCTCTCCCAGATCCACCGATCCATCCTCCCAGAGCTCGATCCACTCGGACCATGCCACTGATGGATGCTGACCTCCACGTTTCGCTCGCTCCCAGAGATCTCCGCGAAGAGCGACTTCCTCGGTCGCTGCGCCGATGTCGCCCTCACGTCATCTTTTCGCGTTCCAAAGCCTCGAACACGCGCGCGCCCCGTCACGTTGCGCGTGTTGTAGACTTTGGGGGATTGTGCGGGGTGTTGTTTTTTGGCAGCATACCTTTCCAGGAGGGACAATATGAATAGAAAACATGCCTTTAGTGCATGTGAGATCACCTTGTCTTGAGGTGACCCACGACTTTCTCATCTTGAAGGTTGGTGAAGTAAAACAGTCCTGGACTTGGAAGGGTTCATTGCACACCACACAGACTTTCTGGACTCCAGCTGTTCACAAAGAACGCCGGCGCCAACAAAAACTATTGGTTAAATCCACCAAACTATACGAACAACCTCTTGTCTGCCCTCCCAAGATCCGCGGTTCGCGGATCTGCAAATGGATCCGCAAGTTCGCGACCCGGCAAGACCATCGAGTCTTTCAAAACCATGCTGCAAGAGTGCACCGTAGACGCAATGTCAAACACGACCCATTAAACAAGAAAAACAAGATGGAGCCCACGAACCTGAATGCGCACACGGTCGAAAAGCTACATATGTCCAAGTGAGACAAGAGTGTCCCATACAAGAGTTTCCTACAAGAGTCTCCCACAAGAGTATCCTATAAGAGTGTCCCACAAGAGTTTCCTACACGAGTGACCCACAAGAGTGTCCTACAAGAGTGTTCCACAAGAGTGTCCTACGAGAGTGTCCCACAAGAGTGTCCCACAAGAGTGTCCTATAAGAGTGTCCCACAAGAGTGTCCCACAGGAGTGTCCGGACACTCTTGTGGGACACTCTTGTGAGACACTCTTGTGGGTCACTCTTGTGGGTCACTCTTACAGGACACTCTTGTATTGTAGGACACTCTTGTAGGACACTCTTGTGGGACACTCTTATACGACACTCTTGTGGAACACTCTTGTAGGACACTCTTGTGGGACACTCTTGTAGGAAACTCTGGCGGGGCAGGGCACTCTTTTAGGACACTCTTGTGGGTCACCGTGTAGGAAACTCTTGTGGAACACTCTTATAGGACACTCTTGTGGGTCACTCTTATGGGACACTCTTGTGGGACACTCTTGTAGGACACTCTTGTAGGACACTCTTGTGGGACACTCTTGTGGGACACTCTTGTAGGACACTCTTGTGGGACACTCTGAGAGGACACTCTTGTGAGACACTCTTGTGGGACACTCTTGTAGGACACTCTTGTGGGTCACTCTTGAACGAAACTCTGGCGGGACACTCATACGGGGCACTCTTGTGGGACACTCTTGTGGGACACTCTTGTGGGACACTCTTGTGAGACACTCTTGTGGGACACTCTTGTGGGAGACTCTTGTAGGACACTCTTGTGGGACACTGTTGCGGGACACTCTTGTGAGACACTCTTGTGGGACACTCTTGTAGGACACTCTTGTGGGACACTGTTGCGGGACACTCTTGTGGGACACTCTTGTGATCTGGGACACTCTTGTGGGACACCCTTGTGATCTGGGACACTCTTGTGAGACACTCTTGTAGGACACTCTTGTGGGACACTCTTGTGGGGCACTCTTGTAGGACACTCTTGTGGGACACTCTTGTAGGACACTCTTCTGGGTCACTCTTGTAGGAAGCTCTTGCAGGGCACTCTTTTGGGACACTCTTGATACCACGAATCATCCCGCTCACCAGCGACACGCCGCATTTACACCAGCCTGTTTCGCGCTCCCCAGTGGCACAGCGCCAACGCAAAAGCATTTTCCGCCAAGGCCACGCAAATCCCAATGGCACTGCGACATCACGCGCGTCGCGTCGCCACACGGTCTGCCCACACACTAGAAGCAAACGTATCACATGATCCAACAAATCATCCCGCTCACCAGCGACACGCCGCGTTTACACCAGGTCACGTCACGTTTTCATCCGAAACCCTCTCGAAAAGCTTCCCCCACTGGCACCGCCTTAGCGCTCTACTGCGGACGGTTGCGAACGGTTGCGGACGGTTGCGAACATAGAAACAACGGGTCGCGAACAAGGCTCTACCCCCAGACCCCCAGAGTTAAACGAGAACCCTTCGCTATGCATTCGGGAAAAGATCCTTTTCTGAACGACATACCACACAGTGAAAAAACCTAACAAAGAAGCGATGACTAGACCAGAGAGGCTTGGATCGGACATCTCAAAAGTATGAAAGTCTCAAGTCTCAACACAAAAGTTTACCATGAACAGTGAGCCACGCGCAACACGCATCAACAAGCGTCGACTGTGCGCAGCCCAGCTTCAAATCATCTACTTGCACGTTCTTCCTCTGCAGCTGCTTCATGACCATCAAGTCTTTGTCAGCTGCAGTGGTTTCCATAGCAGTCGTCACGAAAACACCTGTTATCACCTCAGCTCATACCGTTGAAGGTTCTTTTGCATGCCACTACCCAAAGCAACTGCAGCACAAGGAAGGTGGGAAGGAAGGTGGGCCGCTGCGTCCGCACTGACTGCTTGTCAAGTCAGCATAAGGAATTGGTGCTCATTGTTTTTGATGATTTGCGGCGCCCCTGACAGAGAGAAAGGCTGGGTTGCTTCAATCTTGACGTGCGCCCCACGCCTCATAGAATTGAAAATACACAGAGGGCAGTGGCCTAAAGCAAAGCGGACTTGGGGCCATCTATACATGAATAGCCACTGGACTATTGCGTCAGCAAAGTTGAGGACGGGCTCCATGTTTTCGGCTCCTGGGATCCGACTTTCGGTTCCACGACTACTCTACTCTACGACTACTACGACTACTACTACTACTACTACTACTACCTACTACTACTACTACTACTACTACTACTACTACTACTACTAGTGCTACTCTACTTTCGGATATACGAAGTTACTACTACTGCTACTCTGCGACGACTACTACTACTACTACCACCACTACTACCACTAGTACCACTACTACCACTACTAGCCCTAGTACAACAACAACAAAAACAACAGGAGAAGGACGTAAAAGCAGGATCTTATCAATAGCAAATTACGACTCTTGAGATCCCGGTGGGCACACAGCGATATGGGGTTTCCACAAATTTAGAAAGAACATGTAGGCTCTGGCACTCTTTTTGTCATCTACGCTAGATGTTCTTGCATGTTGGGATTCTTGCAACTTAAGTGACAGCCCTTGACGCCACAAGGGAAAAGTGCTTACTCTGCCTACACAGGTGAAGCATGTTGAAATGATTTCAACCTTCCACTCTATCACAGCACACGGTCGACATTGAAGCCACCGCGGGAGGGACAGGGTGGGAGAAGGTCAGCTGCAAGTCAAGCAGCCTGCACAACCAACAAGAGTTAGATCCTACATACCTACAGCTCCCCCTTATGCTACGCTACAGGGTCCACATGCACCCATGTAGGCTCTGGCACTCTTTTTGTCATCTACGCCAGATGTTCTTGCATGTTGGAATTCTTCCAACTTAAGTGACAGCCCTTGACAGGTGAAGCA